TAGTAGTAGTAGTAGTAGTAGTAGTAGTAGTAGTAGTAGTAGTAGTAGTAGTAGTAGTAGTAGTAGTAGTAGTAGTAGTAGTAGTAGTAGTAGTAGTAGTAGTAGTAGTAGTAGTAGTAGTAGTAGTAGTAGTAGTAGTAGTAGTAGTACTAATAATAATAATAATAATAATAATAATAATAATAATAATAAAGAAAGAGAAGAAGAAGAAGATGATGATGATGAGAACTTGGAGATCAAATATTAATGTAAGGATTAAGCAATAATAATAACAAATGTCAAGGTTAGAGGTTCCACTAATGGTATATCAAACAAGTATAGTATAAACTCTTATTATTGAATTGGAAACCACACACAAAGGAGGTTCCAATCAGATTATATATTGTTAACATGATTACATTAGTCATCTTATTCAATTAATGCTAATACTTGTAAATCTCGTCAAGCATTCATGATTATAACTTATGTTAACAATAAATCAAGTTCCTTTCATAGCTCAGGTGTCGGTTATACCATACATTATGGGCTATGAAAGTGCCAAGCATTTGTTGTACCAAGTGTTATACAACATAAATCAAGATTAGTCATTTAACAAGCAAAGTATTAAAGAGTGAACAAGATAACAAATATAAAACATGTTAGTATCAAACATTAAGGTCCATATTAAGTTTACATTATACTTATTCTTACACCATTAGTGTAACCTTTTCACCTTGACATAATTAACTTAGCTAGACATAATGAAAGAAAGCAAAATAGATAAACAAAATAAGAACATAAAAGTTAACTAAGTAAAGGAAAGGAAATGAAAGGCATAAACTTAATATTAATGAAAACAAAGCATAAAAAATACAAAGAGAGAAAGGAAGAGCATGATCTTGATCTGAACACCAAGATGCCTAAATGCATGGCAAATGTCTCCTTTTATAGGCCAAAATTGGGAACTATTGATTTGATGACTAATTGATAAGTGGGTGGCCAACTTTTGACTTGGTGACAATCTTTATCTTCTCTTGTCTGCCCAAAACGTCATTGATAACGTCAAAATTGGAGCCAGTTGCAAACATGAAAGTTGTAGGCAATTGTCTCAGCTTTCTTGTGTAAAAACTTCAGCTCATTTGGACTTCTAGAACTCTAGATATGGCCAAAATACCGAACAGTGCTCGGGCTGGAAGACAGATTCGGGCTTCTTTGTTGTTGCTACAATTTGGACTTGATAATGGCCTTTTTAGATCTTGGGCTCCATATGAAAGTTGTAGGCCTATGTCTTACCTTTCCATCCATATAAATTGGACCTAAATCTGAGATCTGTAGCTCCAGATATGACCCAATTACCGAACAGTGTTCCGGTTTGGATTGCACCGACATCTCTTTTCTAAGTTTGGCCATCTCTTTATCCTTGCAATTTAAGTTCTTCAAGTCATCAATCAATCCTTTCGTTTATGTGATAGACCTGCATTAAAAATAGATATTTACCATAAATTATAGGTATCTTATATTATTAGATACATTATTATAAAACATATTTTAGTTAAGGAGTTATTGATACTTCAGGTGCAAAATGATGATATAAAACCATGATAAAAATGCACTTTTAAGTACTAATCAGAGTTCCCACACAAAAATGAGAAAATACAAAAAAAATATAAAAAAATTCAAAAGAAATCCAAAAAAATAATAGTAGTAAGAAAAGGATGCTGGAATGCTGAAAAATTGTCAAAAATTGGTTGAGAAAGTTCAAAAATGCAAAAGGTTGAAATTTTATATTATATCATTAATTGATGAGAGTGCTATTGACAAAGAAAATCTAATTTAAAAAAATATATTCAAAATCAGATGTTTATGAACTTAATTGTTTTATTTAAGGTTCAATTGAGTTTATAGGGGTTTGATTACAAGAAAAAATGATTTTTAAATCAATTTAGTCTTTTATTAGAAAAAAAAAATTAAAGTTCTAGAGTTCAATTATAATTTTGAAGAGTTGATTTGGTCAAATCAGGGGCTTAATTATATAATTTTTAAAGTTTGATGGTCAATTAAAGGTAAGTTAAAGATGAAGGAAAGTGAATGCCTATTGAGTCTAAGAAAGACAAAAAGAAGTTTCAATCAAGGAAAGACACAACAAATGTCAAAAGTTGATACCATAAAAAAAATATTAAGCTATAAACATGACTTTTTACATCCATAATAAAGCCCTTGATGTTATCAGATGATTGGGATTGGTTATTCATCAAAGAAAAAGCTGGATTTGCATTATGACCTATGTTAAAAGAATTCTAATATTTGAGGTTATATGTCACTTTCTATATAAAAAGACAACAAGATAAAGAGAAATGATGTTGATCCTAGGTGTTTGAAACCCTCAAACACCTTTTGAGTTTGTAAAATTCATTTCTTTTATAGCCATAATCCGTAACCTACATTATGTGCTTTTAAAAGCCCTTTTTGATCAAGTAAGCAATTTGAATCGATAAATGACACTCTTAAAGCTTGAAGATTTTTTTCTATAAGGGTCGTGGCTTCATGGATTAAGCTACTTATTATTAGCATGCTAATAAAATAAGTGCTAAAAAAAGAAACAACCTTTCTTGATGAAGCTTGAGTTCTGACTTTAGCATCTTGTTTTTGAAATTCACAAAGAGGTCACCTCATCACAAACCATTAAAAAATATACGCAAGATCAAAGATTAACATGCATTTTAGCTTTAATAACCAATTTATTAAAGTCATGAGAATTAGGCCAATATTTCAAAAATTCTAAAAAAAATTATTTTGTTTTATTTTAATATTTGGGGTTATAACCTTATACATAAGATGTATTCTGGATATTAAATTTTTTTTTTGTTGACGTCAGAACACTTAGGTTTTACACGATAAGATAAGGATCTCCATACCAATGAAGACATTTCTTAAACCATAGATGAACCAATAACTAGAAAACACAACAAAATCTTAGATTTTATTAAACAATAAAACAATATAACTTATCTTAGATAATGTGTATTTGGGGTGCTAATACCTTTCCTTTACGCAATCATTCCCCTTAACCCGATCTTTAAGACCAGTCAGGGTTCCTAGTGACCAGAATACTAGGTGGCGACTCCCATTTCAATTTTTTCACTAATAAAAGATAAGAATTCCTTGTCTCCCCACATTTACCACATTTAGATTAGATAAGATATCTTGAAAGTAGATGTTTTTGCCGCAACACAGCACACATGCGACAACTGTCAGAGGGAGATTACTCTAAATGTGATGCAAGGAATTTGAATAGATTATTTTCATCAAAGTTTTAGGAAATTATCTCTGTTTTCCAACACAAAAAAAATTAATGCATTTTGACTTCTAGAACTTAAGATATAGGCTGAACACTAAACAGTGTCAAGGTTGAAGAACAGATTCAAACTTCTACATTGTTGCTATAATTTGAACTTGAAAACGATCTTTTTGAATCTTAAGCTCTCATGAAAGTTTTAGGCCTATATCTTAGCTTACCATCCATATAGCGTAGACCTAAATCTAAATTCTACAGCTCCAATTATGATCCAATAACCGAATAGTGTTCCAGTTTTGATTGAACCAATATCTTTTTTCCAATCTTAGCCATTTCTTTATGTTCTTAATTTCAGTAGTTAAACTTATCAATTAATCCTTTGATTTATATGATAGGCCTGTACGTAAGATGAACATTTATATAAATTAAAGCTATCTTATACTATTAGACATGATATTATAAAACATGCTCTAGTTAAGGAGTTATTGATACTTTAAATGCAAAATGATGATATAAAACCTTGATAAAATGCATTTTTAACTATTAATCACAATTTATTAATCAACTTTGGGATCCTGATTATAGATGTTTGTCCTTTGGAAATATGGATTTGTATCCAACTATAGAAGAGTATGGAATGTTATTGAAACTTCCTAAAAATCTACACAAGGTTTACTTCCTATTGAAAAGCGATAAAGTGATTCCTGAGTTGGCAAAATTATTGAGAATTCCATATTTAGGAAGATATTTAAAGAAGAATATTAGTAGTTTGAAATGGAAATTGCTCGAGGTTGAGCTAGAAAGAAAAAAAAAAAGGAGTACGGATCGACAGGAAAATGACAGTTTAATCACTCTAGGGATGTATGGACTCGTGTTGTTTCCAAGCCTAATAGGAATTGTGAGTCTAGAAGTTGCGACTGCATTTATGGAATATGAAAAATACTCTTGTCTATCTTGTGGTTGCTATTTTGTTTGAGACCTTTTGATCCTCAACCATTTTAGGAAAATTAGGAAAGGTGCAATGAGATGTTGCACATAATTATTAGACATCTAGATTATAAGCCACATTGAAACCAAAACACCGGTCTTTAATATTTTTTTATGGTTTAGACAAAAACGCTTAAAGATGGTAGAAGAAGAGGAGTGGGGAAATCTGGGTGACCTAGGTTGGAAGAAGAAGCTGCAAGAGTTACTTAGCAACTATTTTAATTGGAAAGTTGACACGACGAAAAGATTGATGTCTTCTCCCAAGTGTAGGAGTATCAAAGTAATAAATAACCCGGTAAGATTGAGGTCAAACCATAGGGAGGTTAATTGTATAAATTATAAACAACAATAATATAACAACAACACCACCACCACCACCACTAATAATAATAGTAATAGCAATAGTAATAGTAATAGTAATAGTAATAGTAATAGTAATAGTAATAGTAATAGTAATAGTAATAGTAATAGTA